CGATGTTGCGATAACCTGCAATATCTAGTATATATGTATATGTGTGTGTGAGTGTGTGTACATACATTGTTATATATACTGTATACATACAATTAATGTTTTAATTTATTTTTATTGTTTTCCACTGTTTGCTGTTTTAGTGATTTTAGCGGTTCATTCCTTTTTGTTTTAGTTGATAGTTTTTACGTGTTCTCAGTGTACAGCATTTGGACCAACAGTGTTGTTTCTGTTCATTGTCCTGAGATAACTTCTGTTGTCACTTGACGCTATAGAAATAAACTGAACTGTTGTTTTCAAAGCGCTTTATGAATAAAGTTGTACTGTGTTGTTTTGCATATAGCCCTGTGTAGCAAAGAGCAGCAGCTACGTAAAACCAAACCTTTAACTGTATCCATGAAGCATCATTCTTCATTGTCCCAGATCAACTAGATCACATGTTTTATATTAACAAGCCTGGTTAGCTCGCGCCCAGCGAGGTGGATCATAAAGCTCTGTGACAAACAGCTCAGGCCTCCAGCTCTAGATGTTTGTCCCGTTTGTCTCCTAACAGATGTCACAGCGGTTTGTAGAAAACACTTCCAGCAAAGTGCAAGTCACACATTTATCAACCTTTAAATCTGCTTCTGAAAAATTTACACATCAGCTTCTGCAACTTCTTTGTCTTTACATTATGCTGCTCTGGAAATTACTGTATTTAGTATAAATGATATTGCTCATGGGCAGCACAGTGGTGAAGTGGGTAGAGCTGCCGCCTCTCAATGAGAAGATCGCTGGATCAAACCCCGGCTGGGGGCCTTTCTGGGTGGAGTTTGCATGTTCTCTCTGTGCTGCGTGGGTTTTCTCCAGGTACTCCAGTTTCCTCCCACAGACCAAAAACATGCATGTTAGGCTGATGGTAACTCTAAACTGTCCCTAAGTGAGAGAGTGAATGGTTCTTTGTCTCTATGTGTCTCTGTGGTGGACTGGAGACCTGTCCAGGTGTCCCCTGCCTCACGCAGTGACTGCTGGATATGGACACCAGTGACCCCTGTGACTCGAAAAGGAAGAAGTGGGCAAAGATAATGGATGGATGGATGGATGGATGGATGGATGGAGGTTCTGGTAGTAGGTAGAGCATACGCAGTCCTGCTGGACCCAAGCAGTGTGGTAAAGCGGTGCATCTTCTTTCATCTGGCAATACGTACGGCAAACGAGGGTGGAGGCAGGTGTGGGCACCCCACCCACACTTCAATGCCTTTGGTACCGGGAGTTGAACCAGCGACCCTCCGATCACAGGCCCACCTTCTCTAAGCTCAGTGCCACCACACCACTTGCTTTAAACTTTAAAAATGTCTCTAGGACCTGTTTTGTGTTTGGACAGTTTTTGTCCTGCTGAACTCTCTGAACTGTCCTAAATAAAAACCTGCTCCAAACCATCCACATGCCTGCTAGATCCCTTCCCAACCAGATGTTTAAAGACGTGTTTCCATTAATTAATAACCACGTCTTGGATCTGCTCAATTTGTCTCTAATAAATGGTTACGTACCACAGAACTTTAATCCTGTAAGAATATTTTGTAAACATATTATTTACATTTTCTCTCTTACGCTATCAAAAGGAAAGTTGTTTCTTAAATTCTGGAAAATTAATACAACAAGGGCACTAGCTAAAATAATAATGACATTTAAATGCAGTAAGAGTTTTGTGAAACTAATATTATTGTCTCAGCAGACTAAATGTTTGGAAAATAACTGCCTTATTAAAACTGCAAAGAGATGCGTTGCACATAAAATAATCTAAGACAGACCTTTGTTGTTTAGTTAAACTGTGGAGTTGGTTTCACGTCGTTCTTTTCAAAATGTCTCCTCAGACAAACGGGACTCCTGGTTATGGGACCAGAGAAAAGTGATGGTTACCTGAAGGTTAAGACGACGCTGCAGAGGAACAAGGTTCCTGCAGTGGTTCTGACCCCGGACAACTTCAACCAGCACATCCCCAACCTCCGCCTGGCTGAAGGAGATGGAGCGCTGGTGGAAATAACAGCTGGTGTCCTGTATGCTGACCGTGTTCTCAGGACCGTGCAGGTACGCTCTGATCGATTCAGGTCAATGAGTCCCCGAGGCTCAATGGGACTAACCCGTAGAAGTAAAGGTTGAAAAATAGTACGTTCTAAAAGAGAAGCACGACAGCTGAAGTTTATTTTTATTAGAATAATACACTAGCTTACTGAAATATGTGTTATACAGATGTTTTTATATATACAGTATATATAGTATAAATGTATATATGTATACATATATACATTTATACTATATATACTGTATATATACACATTTGGACGGACGGACAGATTTTACCTTCCATGTGTAAGTTAAACTTTTTCAGATGGGACTGTTGCCTCCGTGACTCTGCTTCAAATCATTAGAACACAGGAACAGAGAAGAATCTGTTCACAACCATGATGCTTCTTGAATTAAACCTCAACATCCATCCATCCATCCATCCATCCATCCATCCATCCATCCATCCATCAGTTGTCTGTGAAGGGATCAGCCAAAAGAAGATAATATGTAAGACTTTTTATTGTTCTTTGTTTCCAGACGCAGTTTGAGAAACTGGGCGGGGTGCTCAGAGATAACGAGGAGGTAACAGACATCAAGCCTGGTCCTTGTGTCACTGTGTGCACATCTGCTGGAGTTTATGTTGCCAACAGTGTGGTGATCACAGCTGGACCCTGGACCAACGCTCTGCTGGCACACACTGGTCTACAGCTGCCACTGGAGGTACGCTAACCAACCCATCAAATACTGCTTACATGGCCATTTATTGATACAAATACATTTATATTTTAATTAGAATGGGCATAATTTATACTTTATTGTATCTATCAGATTTACACATGTCTAGAAATAGATTAATTTTGAATTTGATCCATTTTATAATAGATTTTCATTTGATGTACAATCACTTGTATAATGCATGTGTTTCTTTAATGTTGACATGAACCTGCTTGTTCTGTGTAACCACTTAATTCATCCAAACATTCAGGTTCGAGTTCTGACTTTCATTTTTTAAACTTTTATTCCTTTTCTACACATTTTTCACCAGTATGATGGAAAACTTGAGTCTGTGTGTCACGAGTGGATATGTCTTCAGTTTCAGACGCTCCGAGCTGCCTCCTGCTGCTGACAACTTTCCTCCCTCCCCCTGAAGGTCCAGCGGAGAAGACCTCAAGAATAACGTTCTTCTTCTTTTCCCTCCGCAGCAGCTCAGAGCCACAAGTCAGCAGAGTTTTATTTTACAATCTGCCACAGCCTGAAAGGAGAAGCTGGGCTGAAAACAGGCCGACAGCTGTTAGAGGCGAGAATTGGAGAGGATTTTGGAATTGCATTATTCAGACGAGCAGCAGAGTGGGGGGGCTCGGGGGGCTGTGCTGGAGTGACTGGGGAACAGCCTCAGAGCTCTGACGGTCTCTGACAACGACTGCCTGCTTAGCTCATTACACCCAAACATCTTCTAAATGTCTCCTTCTTGATGGAAACACATTTAACTGAGACAAAGGAGCAAATTACACTGAATTGTTCTAAACTACACGCTGTAATGACTCCTCTTCTTCCTCCTCCTCTTCCTCCTCTTCTTCCTCCTCTTCCTCTTCTTCTTCTTTGCAAAAACAAAAAATTATGCAACATAGAGCGTTAATGAATTTTAAAAACAAGTTTAAATGTATTCTCCATGATAGAGGGTGAAAACATACAGATTAATATAAAGGTTTAATCCAAGCTGTGGTTCTAAAGATCCTTGAGGTCTTTAACTTGACAAGACCAGTTAACTTCTTGTTAGTGGTTATGATTGACAGCAGTTGTTAGGTCCTCTGGGTGACTGCACTCAGTGCATTAACTAATTAACCACCAGGCAAAGACCAAAAACTAGAGGAGTTGTAAATTAACACACTTTGGTAAAGTCTGCTGGAGCCATTTTGAAACATGTTCCAATTTTAAAATCATCATGCTAAACATCGTAAAGACAAGTTGTATGAAGAATTTACCAAAACCTGGAAGAAGACTGTTCTCAGATGAAGGGCAATGAGTTCAGATGTTCAGGAACAACCAAAGAACGAGTGAGGTGCAGTGTGAGGTGGAACCTGGTGGAGCACCAGTGTCTCTGACCACAAGGAGACACCTTCACATCACCGTGGACCAAGAAGGTGCTGAGCAAGAAACCAACTCTTGGTCCAGAGGACAGCCCTTCACGCTGGACTCTAACCTGCACCTGCCCACATGGACAAGACAAATCTCTTCCTGATGAGCACAAGAAATTATTTACAGGAGACAGTTACCAGAAGAGTTGTTAACTATCAGAAGAGAAATCGTGTTTTTTAGTTTCAATTCACACTTTGGTTCCTGGCGACTGAAACCTCTGTGTGAATTTAAAGGTACAAACTGAGGCCCCCACTCTCCAGCTGTAAATGAGAAGTCTCCTGGGATGGATCTACATAATCAGGTCATGAGTCCTCGGGGCTCAATGAGACTTACCTGCAGAAATAAAGGTTGAAAGAATTCAAATACACCAGCACTCCTTGATGCTTGAGACATTTAACCAAATCTTTTTCAGAGCCTCTCTCTGCAGATCATCCCAACTGTACGTTATTACTATGGATCTGGTCAGCTGGTGTCTCAACGCATTTAAAATGTTCTCAACGTGACGACAAACTTCAGGCGAGCCGACTTTTCTCGACAAGAAGACGAGCGCTGAGGATGCATATACAGTTGGACTGATGATAACTGGTTTCCTGCTTTTTGGATTGGGCTGGGAGGTCTATCAACAAACAAGGAAGTCGTCTGCAGCAACTTTGTCCCTGGTCAGACTGCCTGCGTCTGTCCACTTAATTTGGACGTTGGGGATTCGAGAGGACCAGCAAAGACTCAAGGCAGACATGAATCTGGTCTTGACCGTCACCTTATCTCAGTTCACCTGGAGGCGCTGTGAACTGATGCTCTGCCCTCTCCCTTCCCCTCCCACTGAGGAATTCAGCGGACCTGTCAGAGGGACCGGCTGAGTAAACATCGTGTCATCATTTCAGGACCCTTGGATTCTCTCTGGCACTGTTCCAGGTCGACCTCGGCACGACGGTGTTTATGGATCTCACCAGAGGGAACCGACTGGTTGTCCAGTTCTTATCAGAACTCCTGCAGTTCCTCTGGAGTGTCCTTGACATCGTCACTGCGCTTGTCGTCTCCCCTCCCTGCTGAAAGTCTACATCACTATGTGCCTATGTGCGGGGTGTTTTTTTCAATATCAGGGTCTTTCTCCTCGGTCAAGGACAAAGAGTTTGATAGGATTTTTTTTGTCTCCAAATCCTACATGTTGTCACTTTCATCACTTTTTGTCCAAACAGGTCTCACTTGTAAATGAGTCTTTGAGACTCAATGTGATTTATCTGTGTAAGTAAAGGTTGAATGTATTTGTGTGTGTGTGTGTGTGTGTGTGTGTGTTTATATACAGTAGTTGAAGCTGTATTTTGACTCTGTGTGGATTTGTGAAGATTTATAACTCGTTTTTAAAATTAATTTATATATATGTTTTATGTTGGGTCACATCACACTTTCTTTTTTGTTACTCTTTTCAAAGTGTAACCTACAAAGTGTGCAACCTTTGAAAAGTTTTTCGGCATTAGAAGAACTACTGGCTCTTTGGGTCCCCTCCGTAGGTGGTGAAGATAAATGTGTGCTACTGGAAGGAGAAAGTTTCTGGGACATATCACGTGAAGAAGCGCTTCCCTTGCTTTATACAGACCGAAGGTGAGGAGACCAAGGAACACATCTACGGACTCCCATCCAACGAGTACCCAGGACTGGTAAAGGTACGTGACAATGCCTCCAATTTCATAATAAAACCCTCTTGTCTTGCATACCAACACGAATCTTTAATGTTACTGGTAAAATTGCAAACGGTGCGATTAACTGATTTTATACGTTGCTTCTCATTTGTTTTTAATCTACAACATTTATATTTAAATATATTTTTTTTACATAGACACTCTTGACACTTTGCAATACATAGTAGTTCTTTATTTGCCATTTGTGCACAGACCAACAGTCCAGGCACACTGGAATTCTTGTGCAGAGCTCTCAGACAGATAAAACTCTGAAACATTAAATAAAATTAAAATAAGAACAAAGAGCTTTGTGTCTGTATAGAAAGTAAACCAGGTCACATGACAAGTGAAGTGTGGGTTATGATCAGTATTTTGTTTTGCCATCAGTCTGACTGTGGCAGGGAACAAACCATTAACTATTAAAAACCTTGAGCTATGGCTGATGGACCACTCTGCTGTGTCTCCGGTTATACGAACAGTTTTTTGATGAGAGCGTGAGCTGGACGGAGTGAGTCCTGGATGATTCCTGCTGACCTTCTTTGACACCTCTGTTCAAACATCGAGTCCATGGGAGGAAGTTTGTCCCTGAGATTCTCTCCAGTCTTTATGACTCTTTGCAGTGCCTTCCCTTCTGCTCGTGTGGTGTACCAGACGGAGGTGCCTGCGGTTAGGATACTCTCTATCAGTCCTCTGTAGGCCTGGGTGAGAGAGTGCTGGTTCTAAAACCTTTGCTGGGCTTTTTTTCACCGGGGCTGTGGTGTTGAGACCAGCTCAGGTATGATGTCACCTGCAGTCCCAATAATCTATGGCTGTCATAAATGTACAGAGTAAAGAGTTTAGGGCCGAGGCAACAGCCCTGTGGGGCTCCTATGTTGACAGTGAGTTCAGAATGTCTGAATAAGTTTTATTGTCATTGCACCGAGATAGATAGATGAAGCTTTTGTTCTTGGGTACTCATGTCCCAGGAGAAATTTGATAGTCGGCCTGTCTCCGAGGCCGTCGGGAGTCAAATTCAGATAAGCTTGATTCTTGTTTTTCTTCAGGCAGACAGATTACTTTTTTCTTCAGCCTTGAGTCCATCTGGACGTTCTGGTTCCGAAAATGCCTAATTGTGGGATTACATTCCACTGATCCATGCAATGAGTCTCCTTCAAGGTCGAACCCACCACACTGACGAGTCCCAGAAGCCGCAGGTGGTCTGCGATTCTCACAAATCACCTCCATCTTGTGGTTTAGCTCATAAACCAGTTGATTTAGAGTTCCCACAGCGTGGACCAGACCTTCACACTGACTCGGAAGCTTTTCCATGGTCGAAACTGTTCCTGCCGTCTTCTTCAAAAGTCGATAAAACAGAGCCCTGCCGATGCCAAAAAGCAGAGTCCCTGCTATCATAAATCCAAATATGTAAATGTCTTCAACATCCTCCTGAGACAGAACTGAGAGACACATCATCTGCCACACTCCCCACGGATCCATGACGTACCCCACAGCATGAGTCTCAGCTGGACACGCTGGTTCTCCAGGACCTTGTCGCTTTGATGAAAAAAATCTTATAAATAGAGTTGAACGCCCACGATACCAGATCCATAATCTTCTTAATTTATGTTCAGGAGATGTGAACCAGGCACTTCAGACACACAGAGAGCAGAGCAGGAAGAAGGAAAAATGGGGAGGAAAGACGGAAGCAGCCACCTCGATGAGAGACAGGGAGGAAAAAAAAAAAGCAGCAGACACTGGTCCTCCCATTCTCACCACCTGTGGTCTATCTGTCAGGAAGTCCAGGATCCAGTTGCAGCTGGGAGTCGAGACGCCAAGGTCTGTCAGCTTCTATATCAGCACCCGGGTGGATGGTACTGAAAGTTGAACTTTAGTTCAGAAAGAGCATTCTGGCATGTTCTGCTGCTTTCCAGATGTTGCAGAGTGTGGTGTAGTGTTACTGCATCATCCACTGATCGATCAGGGCGGTGGGCAAACTGGAGGGGGTCAACAGTATCCAGGACCGTGCAGTCGATGCTTAAGAACCAGTTTTTCTAGAAACTTCATAGCAACAGGTGTTGGTGCCACTGGTCTGTAGTCGCTAAGGGTGGATGTGTCTGGACTTCTGGGAACTGGTACAATGATGCTGGATTTGGAAACATGGGGAACCACTGCCTGGCATAATGACAGGTTGAAGATGTCAGCATGTACTCCAGCTGTTCCCCACAGGCCTTCAGAACTGGGAAGAACTTATTCATTTCCCCCAGCCTTGTTGGGGTTCACCTTCTTCAGAGCTTTCAGGACCTGTGTGAGTCACCTGCCACCTCATGGTCTCTGCATACTCTTGGATATTGTTTGCAGCCTCCTTGAAGGTGCTCCAGTCTGGCCTCCAAGCAGCTTTGCACCACCAGTCCAGGTTTTACTGGTCCTGACTGTGTCTCAAGCCTTTTGTTGTAAACTGGTTTGAGACAGATTGTCAGGTGATTAGGCCAAAGTGAGGTTTGGGTTCATCTGAGGAGGCATTCCTGATGTTGCTGGAGCTGAGATCCAGTATTTTATCCCCCCTGATGCGAACTGATGCAGTTTAGAGATTTTCCCTGAAGACTGCAGTGATTGAAATCTGCCAGAATAATGACAGCAGCGTCAGGAGACGTGTTTTCATGTTTGGTGATCATGTCGTGTAGCTCCTCCTCTTTAGTGTCGGGGGGACATACATGACCCTCACAATGATGCACTGCAGCTCTCACAGATAAAATGCCCTAATACACAAATCTGTATCATCTTCTTCTAAACAAGACCTGGTTCATCTTCCAAATGGTGACATGGATCTCTCACTACAGTGAGGGTGTACACATCTCCTCTTCCTTTAACAACAGTCTGCAGATGTCCAGGATCTGAGCGAGCAGCTGTTGGAGGTTTGGGATGGAAACGTCCAGTTCTTATGTAATGCTGGACTCCAGCTGCTCAAGTCTCCGCTCTGCTTGGCAGCACTCTTGTATTCTGCGCACATGGTGCCTTTCCAGACGTGCACGCTGCAGACGCCAGAGGCACTAATGCACGGCCACAGCATCAGCGAGGCAGGCTTTGAGCTGTGCACTGTTACCAGGATGGTCCTCCAGCTGTTTATTTCATATTTACCATATTTTCCGGTGTATAAGTTGCAGTTTTTTTGCATAGATTAGTCAGTCCTGTGACTTGTATGCTAAAGCAACTTTTATCTGTTTTTTTCCATATTCATAACAATTTTTGATTGACGCTTTAAATTTCGAAGAACTGCAACAGTGAGTCCTCCCATGTGCACTCGCTTCACGCAGCTGGTGCAGGCGGAGGAATGTTGAAGAGCTAGTGGCTCTAGCTATGATGGATGGATAGATGGATGGATGGATGGATGGATGGATGGATGGATGGATGGATGATGGATGGATGGATGGATGAATGATGGATGGATGGATGGATGATGGATGGATAGATGGATGGATGGATGAATGATGGCTGGATTGGATGGATGCATGAATGGATGGTGCCACGCAGCCCAGGTGAAATGAAGCTGTTTTGACCATTAATAAATGCAACTTATACAGTATATGTTTTTTACCTCTTCATGATCCTTTTTTTGACTGATGCGACTTATACGCCAGAAAATACGGTACTTTCCTACTAAGTAGGAAGTTGATCGAACCGGTTAACCAAAAGTATGAAAACACTACACATGCCATATTGTTTAAAATAATAGGTGTGCAAATCAAACAGTTTAATTGAACCCTGGGAGGTTGGAATGTGTTACAAGACTTTTCTACGTGACTGACGTCACAAACGTGTTCTGGTTGCAGATCTGTTACCATATGGGCAGCAGGACGGACCCAGATCAGAGAGACCGACAGACAGAGCGGACCGACATCGACATCCTCCGGCGTTTTGTTGCTCGCTGTATGCCTGGCCTGATCCCTGAACCTGCCGTGGTGGAGAGCTGCATGTACACGGTACACGCGCTGAACAGGGAGCTCTCATCTGGGAAAACTGTGGCTGGTTGGAGGTTCTGGTTGGAGGTTCTGTGCGTGCACATGTGCACTGCAGCAAATACAAAATACTTCTACTGTTAATATAGAACTATTTTCTGTTTAAAGTACAGTGATGTGAAAACAGCTCCTCACAGATTTCTTCTTGGTGTGTTTTATTGTCACACCTCAGACGAATGTTAAGTAGGGGGAGTGGTGGCGCAGAGGTTAGAGAAGGTGGGTCTGTGATCGGAAGGTCGTCAGCTCAACTCCCCGGACCAACAACATCAAAATGTGGGTGGGATAGGTGAAGCACCCACATCTGCCTCCACCCTCATTTGCCCCACTTTGGGCCCTTGAGCAAGGCCCTTAACCTCCACCATCTGCTCCTCCGGGTATCCTAGATGCAGCTCTCTGCTCCACACAGAGGCTGTGGTAGCTCGGTGTCTGTGGTTGAGTCAGGAAGGACATCTGGTTTAAAAACAAAAGAACTGCCAAGTCTTTGTGTGACTTGGTTCTCTGTGGTAACCCCTGAAGAAGGAGCATCTGATATATATATATATATATATATATATTTTTTTTTTTTTTTTAATAAATAAATAAATTAATTAATTAATTTTTATTTAAGTAAAAAACACGAACCAAACCAACCTGACACTAGGAGGAAAAGCAGTTGCCCCTAAACCCCATCACTGGCTGTGCCCCCCTTGGCAGCAACAACTGCAATGAAGAATTTCTGATCTCTGTAAATATTTTGTGTCTGTGCAGGAATGTTGCTGCTGTGTTCAGCTCATTGTTCTGCTGCAGAACCAAACTAAGCTTCAGCCTAAAGTCACAAACTGACAGCCCCACATTCTCCTTTAGGATCAGCTGCTGCAGAGCAGAACCATCCTATTGCTCCATATTTTCCTAACAGAGCACTTCACTCTCAAACTGCAGGTTTACTTGTGGTTCCTAGAGTTTCCAAAAGCTACTTTCAGTTCTCAGGCTCCTCTCTTGTGGAACCAACTTCCAGTTTCTGTCCGTGAGGCTGACACATTGTCCAGTTTTAAGACTGGGATTAAAACTCTCCTTTTTGATAAATCCTATAGTTACACCTGGACTATATGAAGTACACCTAGACTATAGGAAGTACATCTAGGCCCATAAAAAAGTACACCTGGACTATAGGAAGTACACCTGGACTATATGAAGTACACCTGGGACCATAAAAAAGTACACCTGGACTATAGGAAGTACACCTGGACTATAGAAAGTGCACCTGGACTATATGAAGTACACCTGGACTATAAGAAGTACACCTGGAATATAGGAAGTACACCTGGACTATAAGAAGTACACCTGGAATATAGGAAGTACACTTGGACTATAGAAAGTACACTTGGACTATAGAAAGTACACCTGAACTATAGGAAGTACACCTGAACTATAGAAAGTGCACCTGAACTATATGAAGTACACCTGGGACCCTATAAAGTACACCTGGACTATAGGACATACACCTGGAATATAGGAAGTACACTTGGACTATAGAAGGTACACCTGGACTATTGGAAGTACACCTGGACCA